GCTGTCTTGCCGGTTGGCCCTCTCTCGGCTCGGGGGCCTCCCGGGGCCCTGGGCGCCCCCGCCGGGCGCTGCCATGCAGAGCCGGGCAGCTGTGCCGTCGGCTCCGCCGTCGTGGTGGCAGTGCAGGAGCCGGGGGGGAAACTGGGCCATCTGGAGGATAGACTGCTGCTGCTGGTGATGGTGGTGCTGGTGCTGCAGTACCATCTCCGGGCAGTCGGGGGCGCCAGAGCGCGCCCCTCGGGTCTGGACACCACCTGCGAGCCCTGCAGACGAGACAAGACGGCAATGAGCTGGCGGCCTGTGCTGGCCAAGGAGGTGCGGGTGCTTTGTATAAAGAGCAAGAGAAGGGGCGAGCAGGAAGAAAGAGGGGGGACAGAGAGAGGGGCAGGGCAGTGGGGCGCGAGCACACCTCTGAGGATGGTCAGAGAGAGGGGGAGGGGGGACAGTGAGTCACCACAGGGTTTTTCCCACAGTCAGCGTGAGTCTGCGTCCGGGAAGCGGATGGGGGCGGGGGCGGCTGGATGACTGTGGGCACATGTGTGTTTGGTTAGTCAGAACGGGGGCTGCCAGGCACGTCTCAGCTTTCAAACAGCAGCTCTGACCCCGGTCCTGCTCTCACACAGTCTCTCTGCCCCGCCAGCCTGACCAGACTGGACTGTAAGCACTGGACCTGCTGTCCTCCTGGTGTAAACGGCCCTGTGCCTCAACCACTGGACCAGCTGTCCTCCTGGTGAAACAGCCCTGTGCCTCAACCACTGGACCAGCTGTCCTCCTGGTGTAACAGCCCTGTGTCTTATCCACTGGACCGGCTGTCCTCCCGGTGTAACAGCCCTGGGCCTCAACCACTGGACCCGCTGTCCTCCTGGAGTAACAGCCCTGTGCCTCAACCACTGGACCAGCTGTCCTCCTGGAATAACAGCCCTGTGCCTCAACCACTGGACCAGCTGTCCTCCTGGAGTAACAGCCCTGTGTCTTAACCACTGGACCAGCTGTCCTCCTGGTGTAACAGCCCTGGGCCTCAACCTCTGGACCAGCTGTCCCCCTGGTGTAACAGCCCTGGGCCTCAACCTCTGGACCAGCTGTCCCCCTGGTG